GCAATAAAATGATAATTTTTTTAAGTTTTCAGGTTTTATTAATGCAGACTAAAGGAAATTTCATTTTCCAAAATGTTAATAACAAAAACTGAATGATAACGATTCTCAGTAAGAACGACATCATGAGTCCATTTTCAACAGCATTTTTATTGCACAGCACTAGATCAAGCATTCTACTTTGTATTCCAGATATTACTGAGCAAATAACAACCTTCTGTGTGTTACGATGTGGCCAATTTCTTATTTTTCTACTAGCAATCGAACCAACTGTTCGATCACTCAGTATTTTGTATTTATTTTTAACAGGTAAGTAGAGCCATTTCGATAAAGGTGGTCTAAGATAAATCCAAATGGATCTCAAGTGGCCATGAGGACGGCCCGCGTCTTGACGCTTCACTCAAAACACTTCTTGAACATCCGTCGAACAAACTTAGTGCGATGTACGTAAGTCTAATTATTTTAATCCCGATGTTAATATGTTTGTGGGTGTATTTTTTGATACTTGTTAGAGAAAGTATCATTGCAAAATCGTCCACTTCCATACAGTTGAATATTATCGACGCCCCGGGTATACCGACAAAATATTGGGCAAAAAATAGTACCAGTGGTGATAGTATAAAGGGTGGTGTGGTTCCGAAGAAAAAGAAATTGATACATGTACCGAAATTTATGCTTGAATTGTACGAGAAGAACAAAATCGAAGGAAATGCAAATACAAGGCCTGACGTTGTAAGAAGTGTCATTCCAACTCAAACAGGTTTAAATTTATATTTTTTTAACTAATAAGCTCATGTATTTCTTCAATGTTGACTTCTAACAGTTCGGTAAGAATAAACATCTACAAAGTAGAAAATATATATTCATTGATAATATTGTTGTTTCTTTCATTTAAAGTATTGTGTCACTTTAATATTTTAGTATTAATTTGTAATTGACAAAAATATCTATTAAAAATAGGACACATTGGGACAATAAACACTATTGTTCTTCAGTCGCCCTTTTCAGATTTGGATAGGTACACTATTTTTGTTTTATTAATGATATTGTAGGAAACAACTACTCCAGCAGCTATATAATCCGTTGAATTACACCCCCAATATCTAGTATAAGGCCCAGATCATTCATCAAGAAAGTCACCAGACAGAATAATTTCGAACTTATTAGTTAGTTGCGCTATTTATTAGATAATGGTGGTGTAATTCAATGTTTAACGAGGCATGTAGCTAACGAAGTAGTTGTTTCCCACTATATCATTAGTTAAAACTCTTATTCCGCCTAGTGCGATACTCATGTGTTCATAGATCTTACAGATTAAAGTGAAGAACACATCTACACGATCACAATTGCAATCGCGATGGCGATGGCGACTACGATTGAATTCATCTTTAATAAACAAATGAGTCTTCACGTATTTATTGTGACTTGTTGGCGATACAAGACGTCCATGCAGCGCTAAATCGAAGTGAACATGGCGATATAATTTGTTGGCGTTCAGAATGCAGCAGTTTACGTTTATCGCATCAATATGAGAATGGAATTTACAAAGAAAAAATAAAAATTATTAAAAAACATCCAGTACTCTTCAATCTTTCGTACCCTGATTATAAGAATATGCGTGTTAAAGTTTAAATAGTCGCGATAGACCAAATTTATAAAATAACCTATTTAAAGTAACTTTCTAATTTTCTTCTTCCTGTAAATTGCACATTTTTATGCACTACGTACCGTACAGTCCGTACAATATTTGTTGAGATAGAATTGCAAGAAGCCCCTGCGTCACTTTCTTGGAATTAACCGCATTCGACACCTGAGGTAGCAAGGTATTGGCGGAAAATTTCAAGACACGACCCTGCCGTGGTAAATTGTTAAAGTAGTTCCGATAATTTAATTGAAATCCTATGTCAACAAATATTGTACGGACTGTACTTACTATTGGTGAAATAAGATCACATGCAAGGTCGCCATTGCTATAGCGATCGTAGTCGTGATCGCGTAGATGTGTTCCCCGCTTTGTATGTACCTAGACTTATTGTGAGTAGGTACAAAGAAATACTTTGTTCCAGTAGGCATCCCATTTCAAAACGAATTATGGAAAATTTGAATCTATCCATCTGACTACTGTCAAATAACTGTAAATTTATGAAAACATTATGTTATTTTTAATTTTACCTACACTTTACTCTTAACAAATTTCCAAACTTTTTCATGGTTTTTGGACTTTTAAAACACTGCATTCTAAAAAAAATCTCAAGAAGTGCATTAGTTTTGGCTGGAAATGGTCTATCTAAATCTGTAAAATAAAACCTTCTTTAATATATGGATCATTCTGTGCTAAATCACTGAGGTCGTGACTCGACCATTTTTAATTTTCTTGAATTTTTTGGTATTATTTAGTACACATTTAGAGTAACTTCCAAATGTTTTTTAAAATTTTTATTTCAACCCCTTAAGAAGTTATTAGCATCTGAAAATTTTGAGTAAAAATTTTTCAAATTCTTGACAAATACTAAAGATATCATAGTTTTTTTTCGTTTTACTCGATTTGAGATGCAGTTTTATAAAAAACATATATAAATGTTACATATTTAGTTTTTTGAGTTTTTTAATTTTTAAACCAAAAAAGTGCTTTTTGAAAAA